GGGGTCATCGTGGTGCCTACCTGCGGTGATGACGAAGGTATGCTCATGACTACTCAGGAAATGGCTACCTTAATGGGTTATCCGATCAGTGGAGACCATCAATGTCTGGCTGGTGCGACATCGTGCTTCTCTAGGGGCGTAGAACCGCCGAGTGCCAGGACGCACCGCTCGACTGTATCTCAACTTGGCAATGCCTACCACGTCGACGTCGTGGGCTCGTGGCTGATGACTCTCGCTGCGTCCTTCCCAGAGCTGGGCCACCAGAATCGCAGGCTTCGCTGGGGCAGCCTTCCAGTCCCTGGCGTCGGCGCAGGCGCAGCTGGCACCAGCGGCTCTAAGAAGCGGATGAGGCAGAGCAGCAAGGGCAGCACTGACAACAAGTTCAAGCAGCTCAGCCTCAACTCGTTCATTGCGCAGCCCAGCTCCGAAGTGTCGGCGGCGCCTTCGACGCCTGACTTGGTCGGCGCGCCTGTGATTGACGATCTCCCACCGACGCAGCCAATGTCACAGAGCCCGGGCCCGTGGGTTCCGCCATCCAGCCCTGGAAGTGACGCGCCAACTGTTGCACTTGATTCGCACCTGGCGGCGCCATCGTCGCTGTCGCCGACTGGCGTCGCGCTGGCCGAGCCAATTGAGCCGGGCAGCCCGCCGCCCTGCCCTGGCGTCGCCTCGTCGTGCAGCAGCCCTGGTACCATCCTCCAAGTGTCTGCGAATGCAGATGCAGTTTCCGTTGGTACTGGCAGCACTGACCATCCGCGTTCTCGTTTTTCGATTGCCTTTACGGTCGAGGCCAAGGCCTGGAAGGCTAAGTAGGTACAGGGCGCCCATTGAGGCGGCCTCACTCCTCTTATTCATATCGTCCCATCCCTCTCGTGAGGTAATTGAGGGGGCAGTTAGGCAGTGGGGCAGTGAGGGTCAGGGTCCAACGTAAGTCTGTCAACTCTTCGATCGTCGTGGCCAGCCTTTTCTAGATTCAGAGACAAGCTCTGCTTTGCCTTGGTATCCTGCGAGGATTGTCGTTTGACCGAACGACACGTATAGCTCCGCTACCGCACAGCCAACGCATGTTTATATGCGCGACCTTTAGGTCGTGAGCCAGCATTGGGTTCGCAGGTTTCGATTGCGCTGTGTTAAGCACGTTCAGCATCCTCGCAAGCAAGCGAATTGAGCAAACCTGCAGGCCAGCCTCCCCAATCCCCATGTCATCCCTGATCACCCTTTTAGCAAGTAGTCCTCTGCTGCTGCTGCTGCTACTGCTGCTATTGATGCTGCTGCTACTGCTGATGCTACTACTACTGCTACTGCTGCTGTTACAGATGCTGCTATTGCTGCAGACCAGTCCAGTGACCACACCTTCAAACAACGTCGATGATTGTTGTGAGAAGCTCCGACTTGCAAAGGAGAGCCGAGCGACGGGTCACTACTGGGTCCCTGGTCAACTTGGTCAACAAGTCCCCGTCCTCCCAATGTCCCTGGGCCCCCTCCTCACTCGGTCCTTGGATCCCGTGCTCTCTTGGTCCAGGTCCTCGGGTCCCTGGGTTCCGAAGTCCCTGGGCCCTTGTCCCTGGGTCCCTGGCCCGCGTCCTCCTCCTCGACCGGGCTCCTCCTCCTTGTTCCTCCCATCCGTCAATCCGCAGCTATTTTAGCTTGAATCTGAGGGCGACCTTACGTTTTTCACGCCGTACTACTACCAGCGAGGACCCGGCCTGCAGAACCACAGCAGACATGCCCCTCGCACCTGTTCGCGGCGCAGCAGGCGCCGAGACTGGACGTCCAAGGCGGAGTTCAGGACAGCCTGGGCCAGTGACGCGGCCATCCATGCGCTGCGCGGGCCCTGAGAACCCGTGGGATCCAACGCCGATGCCGATGGGCAACCGCTTCCCTGGCCTCAAGGGCGTGCTGCTCCAACGGAAGTGCAGGGACACTTTCATCGAGGTTGGAGTTCATTGCGAGTTCTATGACCAGGATGGCAACAAGAACTTCACGAGACATGAGCTGAACGATCGTAACCAGGTGGTCACCAGGAATCAGTATCGCGACGGCATCTTACAAGGTGGTCTCCAACAAGGCATTGCGGGAGAGGTCCTGGCAGTACCAACATCATTCGGAGGGGATCGGATTTTTTTGTTGATGTCGCACGCCACTCGAACAGAGGCTCTCTACGACGCGCACGAGTTGGAACCACACAACGATTCATGTGCCTTTCGGCAAGCTCCGCCAGGCCCACGAGCCCCTGGGCCCTGCTCACAGCTCACAGCTCACAGCATCACTGCCCACAGGCCCCAGGCCCCTGGGCCCAGCTTCACACATCTTAAGGCCTGGGGCTGCTCACTTGGTAGCCAGAGGAGATGGTACTCGAGTCGCTTTCCTACGGGTGGAGTAACATCGCAGTGATTGACCCTCGGACTCCACCTGACGTGCTCAGGAAATTCAAGGTCCGCGGGGTCAACCACCGCACTTCCATGACGCGAATCGATCTCGATCGGATCTTGCGATCTTGCAGCAGACGATCTCGATCTCGATTCGGTGATCTCGATCTCGATCGGATCGGGCCAAGTCGTGGACTCGTCGATCTACCGACCGATCGACTAATCGATGATCGTCGAGCTGCGGTTCGGTACGTTTGCTTGGGCCATGTTGCGCCAGACGGCTCCATGGAGATCTCTGGATTCCCGCGGGCGCTCTGTCTCCGAGGCCGAGGGCCGAGCACGAGGGCTTCCAGAGGTCTTTGTGGGGCCGCCTGACGCAACGTAGCGCAAGCAAGCGTACTTTGCGTGTCCTACCCAGGTGGGGGACAACCGCTGGAACAAGATCGGTGCCGATACGTCCTTTCTCGAGCTGCACCACGCCGTGGGTGACGTGGACGAGGGTTGGCGAGAACACTGCAGGCTGGACGCGGATGCTGGTGCTGCTGCCTCCGCTAACCCAGACGCCGTCGTCGAAGGCGAGGAGGACAAGCGATCCTACGCCTACCACTACGGCCGGTACTTGGAAAAGCACCACAGCGAGTTGTTCAGCAACTACAACGTCTACTCCCAGGCCAAGCGCGCCAAGACCAAGATGGACATGCACGGCTTGTTCGAAGCATACGAGAACTACGTGGACCAACACTGTGTATTCAGCCACCCTTCGCTCGACCATGGCACCATTCTCGCCATCAACGATTGGGTCCTCACGAAGCTCCGCGACCAACTCAAGAACGAGAACCTGAGGCCTTACGTGATGATGGTGCTTCGCTTGGCCACCCCGACGGACGACGGGGTCGACTGGGTGCTGAAGTCACGTCAGGACGCTCTGAAGAGGGTGCCGTACCTGCTCTCACAGATGAAGGAATCCAAAGTATTTCAGCCGTCCCTGGCTCCACTTCCGCCGGCACCAGTCTCCAAGGCAGCGCCGAAGAAGCGCGCTAAGAAGGGGGCCGCTGCCAAACCAGGCGTCGCCGCCGAGCCTAAGCCCGAGGTCTTCAGCGTCACGACGGAGGGGAGGGCCGCGGTGTTCCTCGATGACGCTCGCAATGCGATTCAATACACTCTGCAGTGCGTTGATCCTTCTAAGATCCAGGAGCAGGATAAGTTCGTCGACAAGATGATGATGACCTGCGTTGAGTTCGGCGTGGCTGGCAAAGTGCAGATCGATACGGAGAAGGGCGGGAAGCAAACCAAAACATCCATGACTACTTGGTCCTCCTTGAGGAAGTACGTCAAGAAGCAACTCGTGGACGCGCTCGGGATTAACTGCATGGCCCACGTATCCGCCGACCCCGACAACGCCCTACGGCGGACTACCAGCAGGAGGGAAGCACAGAGTCGCAAGATGTGACCATCGACCCATCAAATCCAGTCAGCAGCATGGCGCAACTCCTGCAGGCAGACAAGAAGCTCCTCGATCGTTTGAAGTCTCTCGTTGACAAACTTTCCAAGCCGACATCCTTGGTCGTCCTGCGCCGCACATCGCCTCAGGTGACCTCGGCCGTCGGCAAGTTCTGGGATGTGTTCATGTCACCAGAGACGCACGCTGCTATGACGTCTGCCGCGTCGGTGTCACGTTCGTCGCTTGCAGCATGCATCGTGGAGATCATCGAGAAGGATTGCATGCCGCTCTGCTTTGATCACGCTTTGATGAAGCTATCGCTCAGCGCCTACACCGTCGATGAGAAGAAACACCAGACCGAGCTCAGCCCGAACCCCGATGCTAAGAGTGTCATCGACATTCTCGGGAAGGTCTTGGCCATAGAGCGCATGGAAAACCAACAGAAACGTTCATGAGATACCGTGCGCAGTTCATGTGCATGCTGTTGGAGGAGGGTGCCAACGTCTTCCAGGCTGCTGTTGCCCAGTCGGATTCGGACCCTGAGGCTCGGCAGAGCATGTGCGAGTGGGCCGTCATCTTCGAAAATGCGAAGTCGACCGTCGCCAAATACATTGCTGAGATTGCTGCGAATGATGCTCAGTGTCACGACGGCGTGATGTGGACTCGACTGTGGACATCTATCGTTTCCGTATCAGCATTGGTCGCAGTTGACGCCTGCATGTGCGACGATGAGTCGGTCTGGGCTGCCGGTTCGAAAATGGAGCAGCAAATCATTCAGCTGTTGTCCAAAATGCCCAAGGACAAGGCCGCCGAGCAGTACAACACTCTGAAGCTTAAGTATGATGAAGCACAGAAGTTACCCACAGAGTACGACCAGCCCTCCATGGTCAAGTTGATGATTGATGATCGCAGGGCTACACTGGAGAGGGAGACGACTGACGCCATCAAGAGCGCCTACGCAGTGCCGGTGCCTGAGGACGAGCAGGAAGGTGGCGCCGCTGGCATTGTGGATGGTGGAGCAGCCGATGAGCACAACGCAGGTTTCATCAAGCTCATCACTGCCCAACCGAGCGCGATTGACGAGGCTTGGGCTGCTCAGGTCTTCGCAGCCAAGGCTACTGCTGAACTGCTGGAGGGCTGGAGGTCTGGCGAAGGCGCTGCCGCAGAGCTGAAAGACGTCGGCCTCGACATCTTAATGACGAAGGACCCCGCGAAGCAGAAGAAGAATCCAGCTGGCTCGCGGCGAGCGTTCGTCGACTTGCTTCACCTCGAGCTTGAGAGCCTCAAGCTCGCGCTGGTTGGGAAGGTATCTACATCCTTGGTCGGTGTGCTGCACCGCTCGCCCAACACATGCACGGTTGGCAAGTACAAGAAATTCCACGTGATGGTCACGACTACAGCGAGCATGTGTTCACCAACAGCAGCTGCTTTCGTGCCGGCTTGGTCTTTGCGGGCCATCAAGGAGGCGTCGACGAAGAGGGGTCGGACTGGCTCGGCTGCTGCACCAGTCGGACCGATCATGATGTTCGAGCCCGTCTGCGTCGAGGTTTGCGGCGCCAAGCTGTCGGTGATGGCGTTGGTGCCAGACATGGCCTACATCAAGTCGCTGATCAAGCATAAGAGGATCGAGATGGCCGAGAACCACGAGAAGGTTCGGCAGAAGGCCGTGAAGGAGGGGAAGGCTGTTCCCAACGCCCCCGAGCTGAAGCACTTCTATGTGGAGCTCACGCGCCCTGAGCTCACGGAGGAGGAGGCCCCCAAAGCAGGCGGCGGCTGTGGTTCCGATGAGGGCAAGGCAGCGAAGCACATCTTGAAGTAAGCTTGCTGTCGCTAGCCGCGCCCTCATGAAGGAGGCCAGGAAGGGAGGAGAGGAGGAGAGGACATGATGGGGAGGGAGAGTCATAATGCTGCGAGTAACGTTTGCCATTTTGGCATGTATGGCAGTTGTGAATATTGGTGCACTTTTGCACGCGCTGCGCTGCCCTAGCTCTCCTCCGCCTCCTCCGCCTCCTACTCCTCCTCCTCCTCCTCCTCCCCCTCCTCCTCCTCCTCATCCCTCCTCCTCCTCCTCCTCCTCCTCCTCCTCCCTCCTCCCTCCTCCCCCTCCTCTCTTCCTCCTTCTCTCCGCGTCCCCCTCCCCCCCCTCCTCCTCCCCCTCAAGAGTTCTCCTCCTCCTTCTCCTCGAGCGCCAACTTTAGCTTGCAGCTTGAACGTGACAGTAGGTAGGATCTGCTGGCCCTGGACTCGCGCCTGCTTGGGGCTGCTGCGGAAGTCCATGGGCCCTCGCTCGAGATGCGTTTGCTTCGGGGCTTGCTTTTTCATTTCGAGCGTCCGACTGTCACGCTGTCACGGTGCAGAACAATGCGATTCACGTGGCCAGCGAGGATCAGATATGAAAAAACATGCATTCCTGTGCGTCGAATCCATCTACGCTGCTACGCTGTCCCGTTCTTTCTGCCCCCTTTACGCACCCTCCTCCCCTTCCTCCCCCTCTTCCCCCTCCTCCTCCCCCCCCTTCCCATCCTCCTCACCCTCCTCCCCTCTCTGCTTCCTCCCTCCTCCCCCTCCTCCTTCGCCCCCTCAGCCGGCCGGCCGGCCGGGGGCGCCTTGGCCGCCGCCGCCGCGCCGCAGCGGCCGCGCCGCCGCCGCCGAGGCCGCGGCGAAGGGCGAGGCAATGGAGGCGGGAGGTGGAGGTGGCAGAGGATAGGGATGAGAGAATGAGTAAACGGAGACGGAGGAGAAGGAGAAGGAGGAGAGGTTTTGCTTTGCGTTCGAACGATGGTTTCCTATGCGGTTCGGGCCGCTTTGGACAAGAGCGGCGTCCGCTCAAACTGGGGGTCGCGACCCCCAACCCTGCAGGTTACGCCCTCCCCATGGTTCTGCCCCACGTTGAGCCTGACCATCCGGCCTGCCTTCGACGCGTGCTCATGTCACACCCTGACCACCCTCCCCGCCCCAGCCTCATGGCTCGCTTTCCTGTGGAGGACGGTACTGGAGACTGGTGCACCGCAGCAGAATGTTGCGCTTTGTGCGCTTGTAGCGGGATCCATTTTAATATAAATCAAGAACCATTGCACCATTACCAATGCGGTCTAAGGCCTCATTAGTTGAGGGGCCTGGGCTCTGGAAGTTTACATTTGACCAAGACCCATGGTTCTGTTGTTCTTCATCTGGCCCTCCCTCTGGAGCTTGTTACTCGAGTGTGGCGAGGCAGCTCCTTCTCGGTCAGGTCCCCCGCCATGTGCGATTGTTGCCGACAGCCCCGCAACCCTCGTTAGGCAAGCGGGCTCCTCATGGACTATGCTTACCTCCTCCCCCCTCCTCGTTGACCTTTCCAGTGAATGCTTCTCTTTGACCCCCATGCATCGGGGCGGCCGCCATGCTATGTTTCATGTCACGCTCTGGCGCAGCTTCGCTGTGGTGACATTCGGCGCTTGATGATGACGATGACGATGCTGATGATGATGATGCTGATGATGATACTGATGATGATTATGATGATGATGACGATGATGATGATGATGATGAAGATGATGATGATGATGATGATGATGATGATGATGATGATGATGATGATGATGATGATGATGATGGTGATGATGGTGATGATGATGATGATGATTTGTTTTTTCCACAGCCAGAGGTATCACCCGCCATGGAAGAACACATCATTGGCACCCAAGCGCGTTTTTGTCACTTTCCACGCCTTCGGGACTGGATCAAGACTTGTTGCCAGTGTGTGCCAAGCTGCTGTGCGTTTGGGCATGCAATCCCGTTCGTTGCGTTTCATGGTCCAGCGTACATGCAAACGTTAAGGGGATCGGATACGACGAAATTCGAGTGGTCAAGGTGGCCGCTCATCATTCATCCGATTGGTGTCGTGCTAGGAGTTTGCCTCTGGCCGGCAGCAACTCTCAGGCGGACTCCGTGCCGAGCCGAAGGGGGCGAATTCACCCTCTACGTTCGTATGGCCAGACGCAGTATCGGCAAGCCGAGCTGACGTAGGGCAGCTGTACATTGCCTGTCTGATCTCTCGCTGTCCCAGGGCCGCAGAGGTGGTCCGAGATCCTAATTCCTTGGCCCCTTCCTCCAGTTGTTCTGGTGGCCCCTGTGGAGGGGGAGGAGGAGGAGGAGGAGGAGGAGGAGGAGGAGGAGGAGGAGGAGGAGGAGGAGGAGGAGGAGGAGGAGGAGGAGGAGGACGAGGAGGAGGAGGAGGGGAGGAGGAGGAGGAGGAGGAGGAGGAGGAGAGGGAGGTCACTCTGCAGTGCGTGGGCCGCCGACTGATGCAGGGGCCCGTACGCGCAGTCCTCCAGTAAGGACCGGTCGGAGCCGGCAGGGCAACCGGGCCCCTTGCCCTGGGGACTGGTCCCGTCGCAGTGCGCCGCCAGTTTGGAGTCCGCCTATCGACAAAAGGACACACACACACACCACCTCGCAGGGAGTTGCCGCAGGAACCCGTCGTCCGACATTCAGAAATATCGCCTCCAGCTTCTGTTGGATGGGCGCCGCACGATGGCAGGACCGAAGAATGAGATGCCCCATGTTTTGGAGAATGGTACGTACCCATTCTTTCTACACCGTGACTCGTCCTCTCTCTCCCTCTCGCGGGATGCACTTGACCTGTGGAGTTCCAGATCCAGAATAATGGACCTCATTCACTCCTCCGTCTGCTGATCCTTCTCACCTACCCCTCTGTTTCCACCTCATCATCACCACCACCACCATCATCATCATCATCACCATCATCACCATCATCATCATCATCATCATCATCATCATCATCATCATCATCATCATTACCACCATCATCATCATCATCATCATCATCAGCATCATCATCATCATCATCACCAGCATCATCATCATCATCATCATCATCATCATCATCATCATCAGCATCGCCCCCCCTCAATGTCCTCCTTGCGCATTTATCCTCTTTTTCCGCATGCCCCTTCCATCTCCTCTTTCTATTTCGCCTTCCGTGCGATGGGCAGGCCGCGCTCAGCATCAGGACGAGCAGATAGGGTAAATATTGGGGAGGAGGGGAGGAATGAGAGGAGGGACTGGGAAAGGATGGGGGGGGATGGGGAGCCCGGGAAGGAGGCGGAGGAGGAGGAGGAGGAAGAGGGAAAGAGCAGGGAGAGGAGGGAGAGGACGAGGAAGAGGAGGAGGATGAGGAGGAGGATGAGGAGGAGGATGAGGAGGAGGAGGAGATGCAGGAGGAGGAGGGGATGGCGGAGGACGAGGAGGTCAGAGGAGCGTGGAGGATTGAGGAGGAGGAGGAGGAGGATTGAGAAGGCATCAAGGCATGAAACGCGGTCTAACGCGTTCTAAGCTGCGGTCCGCGGCGCTCCCGCAGCGTGGGGGCCTCTGATCCAGACGCCCGCGTCAACACGGCCATCATGGCACAACCCCGCAGTCCACAGAGAGGCGTTTCCTCCCCCCCCTCCTCCCCCTCCTCCCCCTCCCCCTCCTCCTCCTCCCTCCTGCTCCGTCGGGGGGGGGGATGGCAACCCCTCAGCCACTACAGGCCGCGGAGCTGAGCGCCCATCTCTCCGAGGCGACTCTGAACTCGATGCCGCGGCGAAGGTCTCGGGGCCCCCCACTTGGCCCGACGCGAACAACCCTCACAGGCAACGCATCTTGCAGACGAAGCTAGACGAGTTGGGCCCGCAACGTGCCACTCGACGCCACTTCACCTCGTCGGTGGCCTGGAGATCCAGGCGCCCACGGCAACACTCGTCGTCGGCTGCCCCATCGCATTCGCCCCCCGACTTTGGCAGAGCGTCCGTCGGGGACGAAGGTGAACGCCGTGCCCCGCTCGCCATGACAACCTCGTGCACCTGATCTCGAAGAAGCAAAAAACGGCATAAACATAAACTTTTGGCGCTCCGCGCGGAGATCTTGGATCCGCGCTGCACCCCCCCCCCACCACTCGACACCCCCTCCCCACCTCCCTCCCCTCCTCCGCCGCCTCCTCCTCCGCCTCTCTCCTCCTCCACCTACCCCTCCTCCTCCCTCCTCCTCCCCCCCTCCTCCTTCTCCTCCTCCTCCTCTCTCCTCCTCCTCCTCCTCCTCCTCCTCCTCCTCCTCCTCCTCCTCCTCCTCCCTCCCCTCCCGCCCATCCCTTCCATTGTGTTTGATTCCTCTTCCACCTGCTGGCTGGGATTTGACCTTCCATGTGCTTTTTGCAATCGGAAGGGCTTATTGTTTCGGACGAGCAGGGGGCGGCGGAGCGGAGAGGCGAGGGGGGAGGGAGTCACGCGACGCGAGCTCGCTCCAGATCCAGCACCCCCACCCTCCAGCCCATCCCTTTGCAACTTGCCAGTGCGGCCGATGTCTCCTCTGTCCGCGGGCACGTGCCAAACAGCGGGCCTGGACGTCGCAACAAAAGACCCCATGGCGCTGTGCGCAGTCAGGGCGCAGGGGCTGCGCACCAGCTTTTTCGATCTGCGGGGCGAGAGCGGGCCTCTTCCGCGAAAGGCTCCGCGGGGCGCGCACAGCTTTCACTGGACAGAGAGGTGGCGAGGGCGGGCGGGGCCTCGCGCGGCCGAGAGCGGGCGGAGCCCGGGGATCAGGCGGTGCCGAACGGGACGTGCAGGAAAAGGTACACCTTGGACGGGAGCCCGGTGGTGAGCTGCGTGCCAACAGGCGGGGACACCTCGGGAGCGCGCGTCGCTCCGCCCACGCGGAGCGGCACGACCCGCCGCCCGCTGCGCGGCCGCCGGGCACCGCCGTACCGAGCTCGCCGCCGAGAGCTGCCGCCCCGCGGAGCGGCGCGACGCGCTGCCCGCTCGCAGGGCACAGCGTGTCGCCGGGGCCGCCGTCGCGACACGCTCAGAACAGGTTCCCAGCCGCATGCGGCCGGGAGCCTTCTCTCAGCGTGTCCGTTCTTGGAAGAGCCTGTTACCATCGGAGAATCTTCTTCCCGTCCTCGCACAGGAGGAGGGGGAGGGGGGGAGCTCCTCCCCGTCCTCGTCGGGATCGGGAGGTCGTCGAGACCTTGATTTTCTTTCACATTTCTTTTCGGGAGGGTTTCCCCCCGGTCCTCGTCGAGGGGGGGGCGGGGGGGATGATCGAGTGCGGGGAGTCCGCGACCCAGTCTGCCGCTGAGCCGGGCGTGACCCCCGAAGCCCACGGCCCCTCACATGCCAGGCCGCACCGCCGCACCCCCCTCCCCCACTCGACTTGAGCAGGCGGGGCCCCGGCGCGTCTGGGCTCCTCTGCCCCGCGGCGCTCCCGGAGCGTCGGGGGGGGCTCTCGCGGCGCTGTCGGGGCGGCGCTGCCCTCGGCGCTGCCCTCGGCGCTCCCAGGCTCCTGCTCGCTCGGGCGCTGCGCCACCGGGGGGCGATCGATTCAGCCTCTTGGGGCCCTTGCCGGGCCTCGGGGCCGTCAACTCACAGACGACCCAGGATGAAAAAAATATCCCGGCAAAGCAACCTAACAGCGATGTGTAGAAGCATATCTGAAAGCATTCCCCTTAAGATTCAGATGAAAATCCAGTTGTAGAATTCTGCTGTTCTCGCAGTCGTAGTCGCATTCGCGATGACAGTCGCAGCGGCAACGGCAGTCGCAGTCACAGCCTCAGCCTCAGCCTGCCTCAGCCTCAGCCTCAGCCTGCCTCAGCCTCAGCCTGCCTCAGCCTCAGCCTCAGCCTGCCTTCAGCCTCAGCCTCAGTCTGCCTTCAGCCTCGGCCTCAGCCTCAGCCTGCCTCAGCCTCAGCCTGCATCAGCCTCAGCCTCAGCCTCAGCCTGCCTCAGCATCAGCCTGCTTCAGCCTCAGCCTCAGCCTGCCTCAGCCTCAGCCTCAGTCTGCTTCAGCCTCAGCCTCAGTCTGCCTTCAGCCTCGGCCTCAGCCTCAGCCTGCCTCAGCCTCAGCCTGCCTCGGCCGCAGCATCAGCCTGCCTCAGCATTCAAAATGTGGCCCAGGAATGGAGTTCTGGGAACTAGAAGAACACGAAGTGGCCTACAGTTGGCTCCGGGCATTCAAAATCATGCCCAGGAATGGAGTTCTGGGAACTTGAAGAGCACGAAGTGGCCTACAGTTGGCTCCGGGCATCCAAAATGTGGCCCGGGAATGGAGTTCTGGGACTCGAAGACCACGAAGTGGCCTACAGTTGGCTCCGGGCATCCAAAATGTGGCCCGGGAATGGAGTTCTGGGAAGTCGAAGAGCACGAAGTGGCCTACAGTTGGCTCCGGGCATTCAGAATGTGGCCCGGGAATGGAGTTCTGGGAGGTCGAAGAGCACGAAGTGTGTGACTGTTGGCTTAAAACGACTTCTGCGGCACCCTGTCCGGCACCCGCCCAGACCCCCCTGTGGAGTCATCTGCTGCTCTTTTTTGACACCACTAGAAACCTATCAGAACAAGCTGTTAGGTAAAAACCTGCCCTGGGGATGGGAGGTGGGTGGTGGGGGTGGAAGGGGTGCACCTCTTGTGCCCCAAAGGGGCCTGGAAGGGGCGCCCTGTGACCCCAAAGGGACGGAACGTGCACGTTTCTCCCCCCCCCCCCCCCTTCCTCCAGCACCTGGCAGGTCAAATTCTGATTTTGCCCTGGTCCGAAATCCGGCTCCATCCAGCTCAATCCTGCCGGATCCAGCTTTCTCACGCCTAGTCCGACACGGCCCCGCCACCGCCTAATCCGCGGCCTCGCTTGGCGGAGCAGCTCCCCAATGGGGCTGAATCCTCCTTGACCCTCCCGACGGAGGCCTCCCAGTAGTCCGACACGGCCCCGCTACCGCGTAATCCGCGGCCTCGCTTGGCGGAGCAGCTCCCCAATGGGGCTGAATCCTCCTGGATCCCTCCGACGGAGGCCTCCCAGTGGTCACCTCCTCAAATCAGCCACGCTCGACGCGTCCGCCTCCTCCCGCTCCGCCGCGGGGCTTCGCCATTGCCCCGGCCCCCTGCGGTGTTCTGTCGCTCGCTCGCTCCCGCTCCTCACCACCCACCAAACCACCCCAACCCAACCCGAAGGCTCAAATTTACCTTCGATTTCCAGTTGGGGGGGGTCGGGAACCATCGAAAAAACACGTATGGAACCCTTGCCCCCCCCAACCCGAAATTCGGGTCTTCGGGTTGGGTTGGGGTGGTCTGGTAGGTAGTCAGCTCCTGCTCCGCCGCGGGCCGGCGGGGAGGGGAGCGGGCTTCAAGGCTTCGCGGCTCTCGTGTCCGGCGGCTGCGGGTCTCTTGACCGATGCAGCTTCCAGCCTCCAGCCTCTCCTTGCTCGTCCCATCTCTCTCCGCCTCCTCGTCACCATCGCCCTCCTCCTAATAATTCTTCTCCGCATCCTCCCCTATCCTTTTCTGTGACCCCTACCCCCCTGGCCCCTCCCCTACCTGGGAGGGCGCGAGAGAGAGCAGAATGACGAGGAGAAGGACAATGTCGACAACGGAAATGACGGCAACGACGTCGACGATGGAAACGACGAGGGCGGGAACGGCGATGACGACGATGTTTCCAGTCAATCCGGCAGGGCCTGATGCCACGCGCCGTGGGCGAGCTCTTCGCCCACGTTCAGCGGCTCGGGGCGGAGGACGAGACCGGGGCCGCCCAGATCACGGCGAGCGTGCTGATGATGATGATGGGGAGGAGGAGGAGGAGGAGGAGGAGGAGGAGGAGGAGGAGTAGGAGGAGGAGGAGGAACCCCAGTCAGTAGTTGGTACGGTGATCCAGAGAAGACGACCTTCGAGGAAGTCATACACCTCATCGAGTCCCACTCTCCGGGGCGAGCAACTTCCCAGGAACGTTTCCAGAGGTCCGCAATCCCGCATCACCTACGTTCACCAGCTGCTGCTGTGTTTGGAAGCGCTCAGCACGTGGCTGCGTGGGTGTTACGCCATGTCTCTAGTTCATGATTCAAGGGATCCTAGATTCGAGCGTCCCCGGGGACAACACTCGCGTAATTGTCGACAAGGGTGAGGAGCGCCTTCGTCTCCTCTCAGCTCTCCCCCTGGTCGTCCTCCGTTTCCACCTCCTCCTCCTCCTCGCATCCCCACCTCTTCCTCGTCATCATCTTCCCCGACCTAGTGTCATCTTCCTCTCCCACCTATTTCCAGGTGGCGGACGCGGCCAAAGAGGACGACAACGAGTACGAGTTGGAGGGAGAGGGGGACGGGTAAGGAGGAGGATGAAGAGGAGGAATATGAGGAGGCCGACAACGAAAATGGGGAGGATAATGGCAGAGCTCGAGGAGGCTTTAGGAGGAGCAGAGGGGGCACCCATCGAGACCATCTTTCCCCACATCCACGCTTTCACTGCATGCTCTCCCCGTGCGATTCTGCGCTTGGCTGACTTGTCGTAGCCAGTCTCGAGCACGTCTTGCTGCCGCACAAACCATTGTGTGTTGTCATTATTCGCCGGCTCGTGCGCTATGCTTTCTCCCCTTCCCCCATCCCTTCTGTCTCGTCATCCTCTTGTGGGGGGCTGGCTTCTCGGCTACCGCTCCGATCACTGTTGGAGTTGTAGCCTAAGAGGAAGCAAGGGAGAAGGACGAATCCTTCACGCTTCGCGACTCTCCCCAGCCGGTTCAGAGACCCTGCCCGTGAGAGTTCACGGGGAAAAGGACGGAGAGGCACATGTAGTGAAACCAAGCGGGCAATCAGGATGAATTGAGAGAGGGCTTCTTCGGGTCGTGCCTGGGGCCCGCGTGGGGGCGAGGGAGGCAGGAGGAGGAGGAGGAGGAGGAGGAGGAGGAAAGACGACGACGAGGACCACGAGGAAGAGAAGGAAAAATAGATGGAAGACGATGATGGCAAGAATGAGGACGATGACGAGGAGGGTGAGAAGGAGGAAGAGGAGGAGGAGAAGGAGGAGGAGGAGGAGGACAACCAGGACGAAGACAGAGCCCCCAACATCGCCTCTTGGAGCCCCCTTGGGACTCTGCTTGGGGATCTTGGGGTCTTCTTGGGGCTGGTTTGGTGGGTCTTGCGGCCCTCTTGCGGCCCTCTTGGGGGTCCACTGGGAGCCCTGGAGGGCCTCATGGGGGCCATCTTGGAGGAGGCCATCCATCAACAGGGGGGGTTCTTGACTTGCGCTCTCCCCCTGGGGCCCTGCAGAATCGCCTCTTGGGGCCCTCTTGGGCCGCTCCCGGGCGCTCTTAGGGCCCCGTGGGCCCCGCTTGGGCCTCTCCTGGGCCATCTTGGGGTTACCTTGAGGCATCAGAAGCGCACCGGAAGCGAAAAGACGAGAAGTCAAGACATCAGCGGGGGCGTTCCAAAAACGACTTTGCATTCGAGGGTCGAAGGGGTTACCGGGTCATCATCACTTGCGCGGCGGAAGGGCGGCGGAAGGTCGGCGGAAACAAAAGGCAGGCCGCCTCTGCCGGCAGAAGCCGGCGGGAATGGGCGGAAGTGAAAAATGCGCCCCCCAGAGATGAGAACGTTTTCGGGTTCAGGGTTCTCGAACTTGCCCAGCGATCCCCCTGCGGTTTTTGAAGGATGTTGGCGTCTTGAGGGGGGGTCCTGAGGGGCTCCGAGAACACCCGGAATCGTCTTGTGGCCCTCGTCGGGCTTCTTGGAGGTATGTAGGAGACTATCTTCGTTGACTGCAATCGGTGCGGTTATGCCGGGGTGTTGTTTGCGAGTTGCTTTGTGGGTGCTTTTGTAGTTGTCGTCGATTCGAGCGACACTGTCATCCTCGATGTGTGCTCCACTGTTATTACTAGAGGGAGCGTCAGTGTCATGCGATCCGGTCGCATTGAGTGACAGTGTCATCCGTTTCCCGGGGGCGGGAGGCGCAAATATGACGGGAGGCAAACCGCACCCTTCGCAAACCGCACCCGTTGTAATCGCCGATATTGTTCTTGAACCATCGTCGGCTGTCTTGAGCCATGTCGGAGGCCATCGTGGAGCATCGGACGCCCTCGTGGAGACGTCTTGGGCCATCTTGGCCGCCCGACCCCCCCGCGGAGACGTTCGCTAAACCTCAGGGGGGGGACCCCCTTCCCGACGGGGAGAGCGCTTCTGGAAGAGGAAAGAAAGATCAATTGAGACCACCTTCGCCCAAGGGGCTGGTGGGATCTGACGAGCAGGAAGCTGCGGTGGAACAGGACGGAGATCCGGAGTGAAGCAGTAGGGTGGAGGACGGCCTGGATGAGAAGTTGGAGGAAGTTGATGATGAGGAGGGCAACGTCGACAACGAGGTGGATCATGAGTAGAACGAAGAGGGAGAGTGGAGGAGGAGGAGAAGGAGGAGGAGGAGGCGGATGAATGAGGGGGAGGTGTAAGTGGAGAGAACGTCACCTCGTGGGCCTTTCATCCCCAGGTGAAGGTGTCGTACTTACAGGTGTACAACGAGAAGCTGTACGACCTGCTCAACCCAGCTACGGCGTCCCCCGATGCGGTGCTCGGGGTCAGCCCAGGATGAGGAGGGAAGACATGGAAGACGACTGGGACGACGATGGCGACGGACGTGGACGCATGTGGACGATGAGGACGAGGCGGATGAGTAGGGCGAAGAGGAGGAATGCCCGTCCTTCCTCCACCCCCATGAGTAGGTAAAGGAAGAAGAGGTCGTGCAGAGGAGGAGAAGGACTAGACAGAGGAGCATGATCACGCGATCATGGTGATGTCACTGTTTCAAACAATACCCACTGGCTCCCCGTGAAACCAACACGATCCAGGATACCCACGAAGTCGTAGAGATCCACATTTCCTTCACCAGTCTTGCAAACGTTGAGCTTCCTCAGCATGGCCTGACCGCACAGCCAACCTTCACCGTTGTTGCATCAGGCATTCCTTGGGGAGGGGGGGGCACAAACACAGAAGTTCCCGATGACTGCGCCTGGATACCATAAAGGTGTCGATGCACTACGCATGGCAGCACCAATCGACGAGTCCACGTGAGATGGCTGCTGATCCAATGCCATCATGATTTTGCATACTGACCGAGAGGGCGCCAAGGGTTACCTGTCAAGTGCAGCGTTGCAGCTACGTGCAACATATCCAACAACACGCGGTGTTCGATCCACCACACCCAAGTAACATAATGTAGCAGTACGCTCGGGGTCTGGGCGGGTGGGTTAATGCCAGCGTCCTCATGGACCCCGCAGCCCGAGACGGCTCACGCTGCAAATGTACAGGTGGAGGAAAAAGGTGTGGTGAGATCCAGTATGCGCATGCACCTCGAACGGAACCATGAACCCAATACACTGCGAGGCTCGCCACAGCATTCTGTCTGACCTTGCACGTATCCCCTTGTCTTTGCAAACCATCCCGTACCCAAAACAGATATCGAAGTTAATCTACAAGCATGCCTCGCTAGAGCGACGGGTTGCAACGCCGAACACCCCCAGCTGCCAAAACGGAGTAGCCATGGGCAGACCTCGGGCAGCTTGAGGATGACGATGCGAAGGAGGAGGCGGAGGCAGAGGAGGAAGGGGAGGAAGAGGACGGGGACCAGAAAGAGGAGGAAGATAAGATTGAAGAGGAGGCGGAAGAGGACTAACATATCACTGGGGGGGGCAGATGGGGAGCCAAGCGGGACCTGGAGGAGGGATAAGTATGAGGAAAAGGAGGAGGAGGAGGAGGAATAGTTGGAGGAGGCAGAAGAGGAGCGGGAGGAACAGGAGCAAGAGGAGGAGAGGAGGATGACCTCGGGAGCGAGAGGGGGAGGCTGTGCAGGAGGCGGGCGTTGCCACGGAACGGGGCGGCCCGGTCGCGCCCGAGGCTCGCGGCCCAGGGCCCCATGACGAGGCCACGCCCCTACGGCTGCGGTGGGACGCCGTCAAGGACCGCCGCGGCACCGGCAGGCTTCGGGGGGGGGGCGGGGCACCTGGACCCCCCCGACCGCGCGAGCGAGGCTCGAGGACCACGGGCCCTGGGATGCTCGCCCTCCTCCTGCCCCAGCGTTTCCTCCTCCTCCTCCTCCTCCTCCGCCTTTTCCTCCTCCTCCTCCCCCTCCCCCTCCTCCTCCACCTCCTCGCGCCGTGCGCCTTGCGCCCCGCTTCGCATGGGGTCGTTGGAGGAGGAGGATGAGGAGGAGGAGGAGGAGGAGGAGGAGGACCCTGAGATCCTTAGACACGGCGGCAACGCGCCAGCCTTGGGGGGCCAGCTGCGACGGAAGCCACCAATGTTTCCCACATGTTTGCTACATCCCCTACATCTTTTACACCGCTTACATCCTTCACATCCCATATTCGGCTCCCACAAAAGGCGCGCTCGCGCGCGCGAGAACCCGAGACGCCCCCATGGCCACAACATGTCTCCAAGAGGGCCTGGGGCCACAGGCGGTAACGTCCAAACGACCTTGGGATGACGCCACCCCAACACGATCCCGCCATGGATTCTGGACCGATTCAAGCCGACCCGAAGATGACTGAACACATGAGCCACGAATGACGCCGAAATGGCCCGATGGCAACAAGATGCATCCACGCGCACCCAGCAGAATACTATTTGCTAGGCTTATCAGGGGGGAAGGGGCTTCGGACAGGGCGTCATTTACACCCGCTGTCACCCGCAAGCCTTCCAACGGCCTTCCGCCGTCTTCCGCCTCGTTTTGCTTCCGTCGGCCTCCGCTAACGAACGATGTTACGAAAAGTCAACTAATTTTCATGGTGCCGATGTACCCCTACATTCCGCTTTGGAAACATTCAGACAACCTGCCTGGTGGACGCACCACGGCTGCGTTTTCAGCCAATCCAGCGTGGCATCGACGGCTACGCGAACAAAGAGCTCAAGCACGCGTTCTATTACGACTCGCCGGTGCGTAAAAACTTTCTGACCACGACAGCCGGCATCTGCTTTACACAAAACGCCCGTTCTTCGCTGCGCACCACCGTGTGCTGCATCCGCTTGGGCACCCACCTCAAGTTCCAACCGTCTTGACGCCATGGAGTACAGGTGCGAGCGGATCGAGAATGCCACCTGCCACCCAGGGAGACAACACCGAACCGTCCACGAAACAGACCAACGGCGCCGAGACCCACCACGCCAGCAATTGGAGCGGGCCTCGCGCGCCCGAGATACACAAGTGGACGGGCCAGCGGACAAAAGGAATACCTGGACAAGACCTGGAGCCAGAGCCACATCGGCATGGACAACAACTACGCTGGTACAGGAAAGACCGCGCAGAGCGACAACAAACCCGACGCGTGGACCTCAAAAGGCAAAGTGAAACTCTACAGGGGCAATGGCAAGACAATCCGTCAAAAGGGTGGCGAGAAACCGAGCAATCATAATGACCACGTTCAGGGCTACATCGGCCACATCACACAGACCATCAACAACGTATTGCCAATGAGGAACGTTTACGATACAAGAAGGCGCGACTTGGGAGGAACCCCCGACGACCCCGAGCTGAAGGACGCCTGGAATAAAATCAGACGCATCGGGATAAGGCTGTCCGCGCCTGCCCTTGCCGATAACAGTGCAGCAGGACTACCCGCTACAGATGCAGTGGCACATGCAGCCCGCACCAAAGCTATGATCCTCAGCTTGCATCAGCGGCATGACATTAGTTCAACTGGCGAAGGAGATTGAGACGACGAAGCAGGCCATGGAGGATTACTACGGGCACACCAGGACTCACATACAACATATACAGGTCAACATGACACGGCACGAGCACAAGGGAGACGAGCCCACCATTCCCTGGCAGTTTGTGAGCACTGACAGGCACGAGCGGCACAGCGACGACGAGGTTGCCGACGACGAGGCCGACGAACCACGACGTGCTCTACCAGGCCAAGGGATACCCACCCCCGCGACATGAAGACAAACAAGGGCGGGGGAGACCACGGAAGGTCAATACGTCGACACGCCCAAGAAATTGGATTCACGACATTTAGACGAACAGGGCCAACGTCAACAACGAGCCCAGGACCTTTGGAACCGCCTCCGGAAAGCGTCTGAGCCATGCGCGCGACAGACGCGCAGGGCCAAACGGGGCACAATTGTACCACGACGATCTCCTGAGCTAAATCCAGCATGCAGGGCAGACCGCCGAAGAGATGGCAGCGCGTCGCCAACTTAAGCAGATGCGAGAAGATGCGGCACCTGGAGGGGCCGAGGAAGAGCTGGAGGAGGCCTCGCGGCGCGCGAGGGGCAGCAGCCACGCGCGACGTTCACCTTCGATTCAACAGTTGAAGATGCGCTCCAAGATGCACAGATAACACCAACGCTCTTGCCAACGCGGAGCAGCAGTTAAGGGGGGCGGCGGAGCTCGCAGACGCAGGGCAGACGCATTATTAGATGACCGTCGAAGCTGAGCAGCAGATCGCGCGCGTAGAAGCGTGGGGGCGCGCCGCCCGCCGCGGGCCACAACGATTGCATCGCGCCGTGCGGCGAGCGGGGCGACGCGGAGAACGGGGGCCTCCTAGTCCACGGTCGACAACTTCAAAGAGGAGATGCACATGGAGGCCACCTTCCAACGCGCCCGAGAGGAGCGCCAACAATTCACCGTCCACGTTGAACAGCTTGTCAGGACGAGGGGCGCCGCGCACGCACAACTACCTGACCAGCGCCAACGAAGAGCAGCCACGGGCATGAAACAAACGAGCACCAGGCGCGCGACGAGGTGCGCCGAGCCGAAGGGCGAGAACAACGCATGCAACAGGGGGGCAGACATGAGCGCGGCAGAGCAACGCCATGCCCTGCGGAAAGAGATGCGCATCTACCGCCAACAGGACACAATGGAGGAAGAGGAAGGCGGCGCACGGTATTCTCTGCGGGCGGCAACCGAAGAGCGCCGCCAAGCCCGACGCGACCTGCGACAACGCACCAGAACTTTTCAACACGCGGCGATCGCTACGGACGGCGCAGATTTTCTGCAGTTCTTACCTTCGGCGCAGCTTGTGTCACGATGCCCGCCCCTTGGAGGGCGGCAGTGCGCAACCTGACCAGTCCCAGTCCGACTCCCTGGCCAGGGAGGGGGCTTGCGCGCTGTTCCTGCAACGCAGACAGACGCACTGGAACAAGCCCGATGCCAGGTGCCAGGGCGACGGGGGCAACGTGGGCGCCAGCGGCGCCAAAGACAGAACGCGTTACGATGAACGGGAAGGAATGACCGACACCTGCAGCACGGTCCGACATCGCGATGCCGCCCTCTGAACCTGACCCACCTGGGCAAGATATCATTTCGATCGAGACTCCCCGTCTCCAATGACTACGAGAAACGACGGCATCGCGCCCGCCGAGCTGATGGCGCCACGAGCCACCCACCCACAACGGCGCATCATTGGCACCCCTGGCAGGTGCCCATCGCCATCGCCAACGCGCAAGCACCCAGCTGGACCCACAAGAAGCTCGTGCGCGCGAAGGATCTGAGAGGCAACCATCGACCCATACGAACCGCAACTTATTGCCGAGGTAACTCCTGCCTCGCCTCCGCTGACCTCGCAGCCAGCGGGGGTAGGTGCCCAGCGGGCTTCTTCTGACGGTAGCGACGTGGCGGTGGCCAGCCCGCGCCGCGAAGGGCGAGTCTGCAGCGCCGCTGCGCTTGGCCGGCCCAGACCGGCGAGGGCCGCCGCAACGGAGCAAATGCCTTCTCCGACCGCCATCGGAGTGGATACAAAAGACGGGCACGCGATGGAGCCCCGACAGAACAACAGGACGAGCCACGGCACCATTCCGACGGTTTGCCAAGCCACGCAGATTCAACGTTCCGGACAGCAGCTGATTGGGCGACGGAGTGCGTGCGCGAAGACCAAAACCACCGCCAAATTCGACGAAGCCACAGAGCGCCACCACCCCAGCACGGGCCACAAATGGGACGCGGCCTCGAAAAAGTATCCCAGGAATTGAGGAGGATGTGGAATACTATCTCCATGCCCGACGAATGCAACGATCCGCTCAGGTGGATACGGCAGAACGTCCTCACAACTGCAGCCGCAACATATCACAAACCAGTGCTGACGGACCAGCAATGACGGCCACCGACTACCACACCCACCAGGGACGACGGCCCACCGATGCGCAACCCTGCTCCTTGCCAGAGGGGGCGACATCGGGTGACCGCAGGGAATGTTGTCATGCGAGGCGCGCGCGGTTCGATCCAGTGCTACATTGACCATTGACCGAGCTGGTCAACGACGTGCTCAGGCGCGCCTCCCCGCCCGATTTCAGGAACGCCACTCCCGATCCGCTCGAACCAGGGAAGCTCTACTTAGCCGCCGTCATGGAAATTGGCATCGCGCCGCCAAGGACGCATGGTGTGACCGAGCGGATGCGCTCGTAGAGTGACGGCTCACACCGGACCGACTTGACAAAGGGCGCATGGTCCGTTGTCGCCACCGTCGAGCCCATCGACGGCTTCGCCTACGCCGGCGCGATGGCAGCGAGGGCGCCCGACTCTACATCGACCTGCATCGGAACAGTATTATCAAGCACATCAGAGAGGACAGCGCCCACCAGGGCGCGCGCGTGGATCTGCCGCCAGATATCGATTTACAATTGCGCACCGAGGGCAGCGCGCGCGGGTTCGAAGGTGGCCATGGTCTTGTCAGAATTCAGAGCCCCGAATCATCAGGGGTAACTCGGGTCAGGGATAACTCGGGTTCGTTTTTCGGGAATCCAAACCCGAGCTACCCCGGGGCCGAGTTGCCCCGGATAGTTCGGGCGCCCAGAGCCCCGAATCATCAGGGGCACCTCGGGTCAGGGCCAACTCGGGTTCGTTTTTTTCGGGGATCCAAACCCGAGCTACCCCGGGCCCGAGTTGCCCGAGATAACTCGGGCGCCCAAAAACGACCAGCACATGCGACGCAGCAGGCATGGCGTGAACGCACCCGTCAGGCAGCTCTGCCAGTCAGCCTCGGGCCCCGCTCGCCTCCGCGCCGCCCGCGTCTACGCGCGCAAAGGGCAGCCATGGGCCGCTCCTCCTCCTCCTCCTCCTCCTCCTCCTCCTCCCCCTCCTCCTCCGCCTCCTCCTCCTCCTCCTCCTCCTCCTCCTGGGCGGCGCCCATGGGCGGCGCCAGGCGCATGGGAACGGCCACTGCAGTTGGACGACGCAACATGGACGGCATACCCCCGACTTTGCGGAGCGCGGCGCGATGTCGGCGCCACGCGCGGCCACGGCGACGCCGGGGCATTTCGAGTCAGAACAGGAGCACCCCGGCAAAGGGGGCGGCGGCCCGCCCCCCTGCGATGACCTTCAATGCGCGCAGCTTCCAGGAGCCGACCCGCGCGGGCAGGGGGCAGTTGGGCGAGGTCAAGGGGATTGAAGTCACCAGCCACCAGTTGAAGCACGCGGACATTCACTGCATCGGCGCGCAACAGACCAGGCCGCCCAAAGGCGCGGCGAACGTGCGAAGCTTCCACGTCATCTCCAGCAGGCGTGGCAACTACATTGTTTGATGGATCGCTACTCGCCGACCTTGACTGGCCACGCGCGGAGAGCAGAGGCAACAATATGTACCGCCGCCCCAACCACCTCAAAATCCAGCGTCAAGGATCTCCACTAGATGTTGTCCCGATTATGAAACCAGGTCCGACAGAGTCATCGGCCGTGGCCAGCGCTACCCATGGGCACTCGGGCCAGGGTCAGACTGGCATCTTCTGGCCAAGTTCAGCATCGGCACGATCCTGATTGACGCCGACGCATTCACAGGGCAACGCGTCACATATTCGACTGGTGACAACGGAGACAGACCCGAGAACACCCAGGCAGGCACCCGCTTCCACAAGTACCCTTGGGATGGCAGTCTGACGCAGTCGGCGCGGTAATGGGTTACAGATGACCTCCATGTCCCTTCCAAAAAAAGGACGCAAGGCGGAACGCATCGATTGCAGCGTCATCTGGCCAGCAACTTTGACGCCGTTGCAGGCGCCGCCACCATCGGGGACGTGGGCACTGCCCAGGGGGGCGAGGATCACTTGCCCGTCAACATGCGCCAGGGCTACGCGTGAACCTGCCGCGCCGCCGCCGCGGCGCCGCGATTTGATTTAGAAAAGTTGGCCAATCAACATGGCGCGCATGGGGCGCCAACGTCAGCGACCACGCATGCAACCAGAACGAGATCGTCGGAGAGGCCGCGGACAAGGTATACATGGAGGATCCAATATCGATGCGGAGGCCCAGCTTCGCCGAGCCCACTTGTGTCATCATCGGGTTACGGCGGGCTTGCCAGAGACCGCGGCGAAAGTAGATCGCGTCACCTCATGCAGCGTGAGCTGGCACCAGTACCGCACAGCTTGCACGCCAACTAAATGGGGCGACGACACCGTCAACCACAGCGTGCATTGCATTGGGCGACCCACTTTTCCTTCTAACCTTTTACAGAATGGTATTTCTGCGGTGCGGCACCAGCTAAATCATACAGAACTCCAACGTGCCGTCAACGCTGCCGTGCAATATTCATGCAAGCAGCTGGTGGCCAGGATTCGCGCCTGCAGGAATGCCCATCTGGAGGCGTGCGCCGACGGCGCCCGCTGCGCCAACGTGCTCGAGGAAAACAGAGGATCGCCAAACGTCTACTGCGTGACGGAGCCAATCCATCATGAATGATCAGTGGGCACCGCTACAACTTCGACGATCGCGGGCAAACGTTCACCTCCGAGCAGGCCCTGGTGAAAGAAGAACTGGACTATTTTGCCAACGTCGGCCACGCGAGGTGCGCGCGGCGGAGGGCGCAGCCAGCGCATTCAACTCGAACGCGAACCAGGCCAGAGGTTCTTGCATTCATAGTGACAACCCCGACGCCAGATGCATTGCCAAGCGCTTGCTCTTAGCCAGCTTCCACTCTCCTGGGCCGGCAGGGTGCGGCGCCGTGCTCGACGACGCCCAGGAAAATATGGGAAACTATGGGAATTGGGCGGGAAGACCAAAACCCAGAAAATATAGGAAAGTATGGGGAATCCTTTAATTTGCGTGCATGTATTTGTGTGTCCCAGGGCCCCTTCAGACGAGATGGCGCGTTTCTATCATCTGCTCCTCGCCGAGACCCAGATCTCAACAGTGGCCTACTTAAGGAGGATGGCTGGCATAACTGGCCAAGAACGGTACAAACAGCCACAGGCTTGCAGAGCGACGGATGGTCTAAATAAACAACGCGATCGCAAAACACCGCCGCCGATTCCTCGCGGCCAAGCTCAGGGACTCCACCTCCGACCTACCACCTGCCGCGTGACGTTCTCTGCGGAGCCAGACCCAGCAGGAGCGCAGATTTTGTCGCTCGCGCACCACTTCCAACTGCGTCAACGCAATGAAGGCCAACGGGAGGAGTGGCATCCTCTTATACATAGACTTGACGGACGCTTTCTACACCGTGGTGCTGGATTTTTTACTTACTGACGACGTCGAACTACGCGACCTACTCGACAGGATGGATAGACCACAGGCTTCCCAGGTTTTCTACGAGCAAGCACTTCAAGGTACTCATCAATCGACACCGGCATAGACGATGAGAACCTGCTTGGGCCATTCAGAGATGCTCACGCCGATTTATGGGTTACAATGAGAGGTTCGACCCGCGTCGCCCAACCACGCATGGGCACGTGACCGATCCTACCTATGTCCGACTTTTCCTGCAACGTGGCACCTGCAAGAACCATGGAGGGATGCAGGTCGACATCGACCGCGACAACGTCGCACGGCCCACAATCGCACAAGGCCGACAACCGACCCACGGACACGATGGAGGCAGATCCCTCGCAGACGCCTCGTTCGTTGACAACCTTGCTGCGCGCGCCACGACAACCCCCCAGCGCGCAGTACACACGGCGACGACGCAATTACAGACCGTTGAGGCAAGATTAGCTGGCCACGGAATGCGACCCAACGCCAAGAAAACCACAATCATTCTGCTTCTGCGGACCCACGACTACGAAGGAGCACTTGGCCGAAGAGGACACCGCACCGATATCGGATATCCCGATCAGCGCGGCGAGTGCAGCCATGGGACCCGAAGTCAAGACACGATCCACCAAGGCGAAAGGTAAACCGAGGTCTTTTACGCAAGCATTTCTCCAAACGGATTAACATCGCAACACACTAAAAAGCACTGCAAAACCATTTACTGGTGCGCTCTACTTTGGCCTACAATTAACAAGTAAGGGGCAACCTTACAAGCGCGGACAGCAAAGCCTTCGCAGTCGAGAGCATGAGAGGTTCCTCGCGGCGTGGCAAGAACCGCCACAAGACTACCACAACAAGAAGCAGGATAAACCAACACGATTCTGGACGATTCACAATGGATGGGCTCCATGGAGAAATTGACCGACACGGCGGGCATATACGATAGGTTACAATCAGGTTGTGCAGAGCCCGATAAATTCAAGGGCGCAGGAAACAAAGCAGCCACGAGACTTACGACGACGAGCGAAGGTATGCAGTAACTGAACCACGCCAAGACACAGAAGACATGCCACCGCTACCAGGCGCGCCACCGATACCAGCTCCACCGACACTCATGTGCGACCAATGTGGAGCACCAATCAAGGTGGGCCCAGTGCCGATTCGAAGAATCCGCGCGGACAGCAGAGTTTTTATGTTCATATCGTTGCTTTTTCCCCTTGCTTCAGGGGAAGACAACGAGCAGGAGGAGTTTGGGGAGGAGGAGGAGGAGGAGGAGGAAGAGAGGAAGGAGGAGGAGGATGAGGAGGAGCAGGAGGAGGAGGATGAGAACGAGGAGGGGGAAGAGAGCGACCAGTGAGAAGGAACGCTTCGTTGTGCAGAACCTGTTCGAGATCGAGTGCGCGTCGGCCGAGGAGGCCATGCGGCTCTACGCCCAGGGCGCCCGCCACAGACAGGCGACGCGGGCGTTTCGGAAAGCCCCGAGTGCGCCGGCACTGACCTCACCTCGCGGGACGGGGGGGTGGGGGGGGCAGTTTGTTTTGTCCGCCACCTTCGGCCGGGCTCTCCTACTCCTCCCCCTGCTCGTCCTCCTCCTCCTCCTCCTCCTCCTCCTCCTCCTCCTCCTCCTCCTCCCCCCACCTCCAGCTCCTTCTCCTATATCTCTCCTCCTCCTCCTCGTCCTCCTCCTCCGCCTTCTGCTCCTCCTCCTGCTCCTCCTCCTCTTCCTCCTCCTCCTCCTCCTCCTCCTCCTCCTCCTCCTCCTCCTCGTCCTCCTCCTTCCCCAAGTTGCATACCGCATACCACCATGCATCCTCTCCTCCTCCTCCTCCTCCTCCTCCTCCGTCCTCCTCCTCCTCCTCCCCTCCCTCCTCCTCCTCCCCTCCTCCTCCTCCTCCCTTCTCCTCCTCCTCCTCCTCCTCCTCCTCCTCCTCCTCGTCCAATTCCTTCTCCTCCTCCTCCTCCTCGTCCTCCTCCTCCTCCTCCTCCTCCTCCTCCTCCGCCTCTCACCTTGCCCGTTTGACAGTTCCCCGGGCTCCCGTGGCAAGGTGACAATGATGCCGACCCCCGCCGTGGGCCAGATGCCAACCGCTTCGCTCCCCTTTGGTTCATCGAGGGCGAGCGGCCATGTCTGAAGTGCCCCCAGGTGGCGGCGACCTCCATGAACGCGGCCTCGTCCCGCTCGCACGCCATCTTCTCGCTGTCCTTCCTGCGGCAGGCCGGGGCGGCGTGCAATCACAGTGGCCAAGCCGAGCGTCGCTCGCTCGCCTCCTCCTCCTCCTCCTCGCTTTCCGTCTCATAGCACCTGCGGTCAGGATATTTGGCTTAGCGGATGGCTTCGCCGGTTCTGGCCCACCGCGCGTTGGCGCGATGCGCGATCCACTTCGCGGTCCCCAGGAGTCAGATCCGAGCTCTTCCCAGCCTCCCACCCCGCGGAGCAGAGCGACACGCGATCCGCTTGCAAGGGATAACGTGTTGCCAGGGCCGCCGCCGCTACGCGCTATCGTCTCTGCTCACCGTGTAGGGCCTATATCCAAATGTTCGTTGTCCTGTTCTCCTCTCCTCTCCTCTCCTCTCCTCTCCTCTCCTCTTCTCCTCCTCCTCCTCCTCCAAGTGCTCTTCGCTATCGTCCTCCTTATTTGCATTCCACAAACGTTTTTGTCCCAAACATCCCTCCACAATTCTAGACGCTTCGCTTATCCCCACCAGCCCATCCCGAAACGATGTCCAGGCGAGTTGAGGTGATCAGGGAAGTGCGGCAGCAAAGAGGAGGACGGCCGAACCGTGCAAAGGAGTGAGGAGGAGAAGGAGGAGGTGGATGGATGGATGGATGAGGGAGTGGGAAGACGGAGGATTAATAGGATGAGGAGGAGGCGGAGGAGGAGGAGGAGGAGGAGGAGGAGGAAGAGAAGGAGTAGGAGCAGGAAGGAGGAACAGGAGGAGGAGGAGGAGGAGGGCAAGCACAAGGGCCAGAGGTCTCTTGGATGCCTCTAGGAGCCTCTTGGAGTATCTCTTGGGCGATTCTTGGGGGCCTCTTGGGACGTCTTGGGGGTCTCTTGGCGATCCTGGGGGGCTCTTCGGGGTCTTGGGTGCCTCGGGGGGGGGGGCCTCTTGGGGCCTCTGAGGGTCTTCTTGGGGGCCTTCTGGGGGCCTCTTGGGGGCCTCGTGGGGCCATCTTGGGGCCATCTTGGGACCTCTTGGGGCCTCCTGGGCGCTTCGTTGTGCCATCTTGGAGGAGATCTATCAAAGAAGAGCTGAGCTTTAATTAGCGCTGCCCCCCCAGGAGGCCAAAATGGGGCCAAAACTATGCGAAAATCAATGATTTTGGCTTCCTCGCCGAGGCTGTTTTGGACGCTCTGACCGCTCCCCGCCCCTCCTGTCCAGGTCAGTGGGGAGGGGGTAGGGGGAGGGGTAAACCCCTCCCCGAAGGGGAAGAGGGAGGGGTGGAAGAGGAAACGTCCCAAACCACCGACGCCCAGAGGGCTGGTGGGATTACTCAATATGAATACTACTCTCCCTCTTCCCCTGATGACGTGCTGGGAGTGTTCGCCCCCCCCTCCCCCCCCCCGCGTCCTGTTTTTTTAAGCACAGGTTTCCCGGGAGTTGGGTTTTCGCTTGCATGTTTTTTCAAAATGCTGCTCTCGCTGAGGCGCCGGCCTCATTTTCGGGCCCCGCTCGTTCCGAATCGTGCTCCCACTGCAGCGCTGGCCTCATTGCCGCGCTTCCGCTCGTTCCGAATCGTGCTCCCGCTGCAGCGCTGGCCTGATTTCCGCGCTTCCGCTCGTTTCGACTCGTGCTCCCGCTGCAGCGCTGGCGTCATTTCCCGTGCCATGCCACGGCGTGCAATGCAATGCTAGGTTGATACTACGCTTCGCGGTGCTCTTCTACGCCATGCCATGCCGTGCTCTACAATGCATCGCGTACCCTTTCGGGATCATTGCCCTGCTCGACATCCGACTGTGCGAGTAGAGAGAGGATCTGCGCCATGGTAAGGGATGGGAGGGAGGGGTAGGATGTCAGATATGACGCGAGCGCACCTAGCTTGCCATCACCCCCTCTCCTTATCCTCCTCCCTCCGCCTCCTCTCCCCCCTCGTCCCATCTTCCCCCTTAACATTTTCTCCATATCTCCCTCGGCGTCCTTCTCCTACAGATGTAACGGACGGCGGGAGCCAATCCTCAGGCCCCCAAGGCTTTTGCCGGCCCCCCAGGGTGAACGAAAGGGGGTCAGCAAAGGGGCGGCTGGCGACTCAGCTGCCTGCAGCCCGCCTGCCCGTCTAGGGGGCCACATGCGAACCCTACCCCTACCCCCCTCGATTTCTGAGGGGGTGGGTGGGGTTCATTTCGTTCGGGAGCTCCCGAGCGAAGTGAACCCCACCCTCTCCCCCTCGGAAATCGTGGGGGGTAGGGAGGAGGAGGAGGAGGAGAAGTGGAGGAGGACAGGGAGGAGGAGGATAGGAGGAGGAGGAGGAGGAGGAGGGAGGAGGAGGGAGAGGAGGGAGGAGGAGGAGACGGAGGAGGAGGAGGAGGAGGAGGAGGAGGAGGGGAAGGAGGAGGAGGGAGGAGGAGGAGGAGGAGGAGGAGGAGGAAGAGGAGGAAGAGGAGGAGGAGGAGGAGGAGGAGGAGGACGAGCGAGGTAGGGTTCGCATGTGGCCCTCTGCCGTCCCCCCGCGGAGCCTGGAGCGACCACGCGCCGCGAATTCCAGACCGGGCCTCGCCTGCGGTGGTCCTCTCGCCTGCGGGGGGGTACCTGGCGGAGGCCCGGCGGAGGCCCGGCGCAAGCCCAGCGGGCAGGAGAGGCGCCCAGACGAGGATGACAACGCGGAGGGGGGGGACGCTAAAACGACGCGAAGATCGGGACAACATCGGATCGGGATAACTCGAAATCTCTGAGAATCGGCGGGTTGGGAGGGTGTATTGGGCGCCGCGGCCGCTCCAGAGCGTTCCGGAACGCTCTGAGAGCGCTCCAGAACGCTCTGGAGCGATTTATCCCGATCCTAGCCCTGTTTTAGGGGGACGCAGGGCCTCAGGAGCGGCCCGCGCATCGAGGAGTGTGGCCAGCCGCGGCCGAGGGCCGCTCCCCCCCCCCCCCCCATTGCCCGCAGGATGAGCTCGCCCTCCCCCCTCCCCCCCCCTAGCGTGCCCCTCCTCCCCGGGGGGCCGATCCCGCGGCGCAGTCCGACCAGGGGCTCGAGGCGGGGCCCGCGAGGAGGTGCCGAGAGCCCAGCAGGCGACGCAGGCCTCCGACGTGCCGGGCCCTCGGCCGGAGGGGGCGGCGTCGGAGTAGTTTCGAGGGCCGTCGTGGGTCACTGGCGCCTCTCGGGAGCATCACGGGGGCCGCTGGTGCCATCTTCGGGGCGTTCCCGAGGCCGATGGGGTCCACCCCGAGGGGGTCTTGGGGCTATCCTGGGGCATCTTCCTGGGCCATGCTGGGCGATATGGGCTTGAACGGCATCTTGGAGCATTGGGGGGACATCTTTTAACAGTCTTCGTCGATCTCGGGGGCTGTGCTGAAGCGACATTCGGTCAGCTTCGGATACATAACATGGGACAGGCAGAAGCCACAGTAAGCACATTCGTATTTCAAAATTGTTTGCCCTCTCGGGGGTGTCTCGGGGCCCTCCTTGGCCATCTTGTGTGCTTCCTTGGGCCATCTTCGGCCGTCTTGAGGTCCAGAAGCCCCCTTCGGAGCCTTCCGGGTCCGTTACTGAGGCCTGCTGGGCCCTCCTGGCCGTGGGGTGGCGTGCGCTGGGCATCCCGAGGCACTCTGGAGCGGCCAGGACTTTGAGGGACCCAGCCCCCTGGCGTGTTTCTTTGGAACGGGTGGACGGGCCTCCTGGGAGATAGTAATACACAGCTAGGATTGGACGAACAAGGGAGAAGAACATGGGGCAGCACAGGTCATACACGACAGCAGCCCAGGAGCAACCCTCACAGTCTGGCGTCCCCGAGGGGGCCAGCAGGCATACTCACCGTCTCCCAAACGCAGCCACACGGAATGGCTCCGCCCACACTGCCTACTCCTTCGGAGGGGAGTCATCCCCGCCCCTTCCGCCACCCCATTGGGGCCGAGAGCCTCCGCGACGACGCGGCCCGAGGGGGGGAGGGCTGGGAGGAGAGCCAGTGGCGAGGCAGAGGGGCCGCCCTCACCAGCTGGACGACGTGCAGCCCCAACCGCTGGCAGCGAGCGGCCCCCGTGCCTCCTCCTCCTCCTCCTCCTCCTTTCCCCCTTCTCCTCCTTCCGTTTCTCCTCCTTCTCCTCCTCCTCCTCCTTCTCCTCCTCCCCCTCCCGTCCCTTCTCCTCCTCCCGTCCCTCCTCCTCCCGTCCCTCCTCCTCCTCTCCTCCTCCTCCTCCTCCTCCTCCTCCTCCTCCTCTCCTCCTCCTCCTCCTCCCGTCCCTCCTCCTCCCGTCCCTCCTCTCCTTTTTCCTCCACTCCCTCCTCCTCCTCCTTCTCCTCCTCCGCCTGGCCGCCTTGCCTCCTCAACCTCGTTCTGCCTCTTCCTCTTCCTTCTCCTCCTCCTCTCCTCCTCCTCCTCCTCCTCCTCCTCCTCCTCCTCCATCATCATCATCATCATCATCATCATCATCATCATGATGCCCGCGGCTTTTTGTGGCTCTCTTTCGGGCCGCACTTCCATTCTCAAGCTTCTCAGGTGTCCTGCCCAGGAATGCAGGACCTCGCCCACCATGCTGCGGACGTCCTGAGGTTCGGGGCGCAGGCACTGGGGGCCTCGCTGGTGGCCCGCGCTTCGGCTCCCAGCTGCGGGTCTTGCTCCCCACATTTGGCGTGTCCCGCGCCGCCGACCCTCTCTTGCCCATCCTGCGTGTGCGCGGGCGCGGGCGGGCAGGTGGTCGAGCCCTCGTGCGCGGGCATCGTGGCGGCGTACGCTGTGGCCGCCTGCACGGTCGGGCTCGCCGTCGGCGCTGGTGCAGGCGTCCTCGTGGCTCGTCGTGCACTTGCTCCGCCGCTCGAGCCCACGGGTGGTGAGCTGCCCACGGAGGTGATCGACATCGACGCGCTCGCTGCCGAGCAGGTGAGGCTTGCTCGCTCCCGAGCCCCAGCACTTCAGTGATGGCGGGAGGCTTCCACGCTATTCGCTACCGCGTGGGAGGTGTGGCTTTGTGGCACGAGCGCTTAGTGTTCGGGGTCTCGGCGGGGTTCGCGTATGTCGTCACGCCCGACTTCGACGACTACGATGAGCCGATCGTGGTGGGGCC